TAAATATCACAATAATACATAAATCTTTTACGGTGGTAAGAGATATGAGATTCAAAAATAAACATATATCAATGAGGATTATGTAGATATGGCAATCATTGACCTTGCTCTCCATATAATATGGATGGTTATGGTTATAGTTTTTGACTTAGTTATTACCATAAGTAAATAACACATCATTCTTGTGGTTTCTTTTTTTTTGGTCTTTCGCATTGAATTTTTGACAACAAAAGACTCATCATATTATCTTTTGGATATTTGGACAATGATCGTTGTAGTTACTTATTTGGCTTCTTCATCAAAACTTCAAAGATTGATAAAATTGCAAAAACTCAAAATTTTTAATAAAGATTGTATACTAGAGGCATCAATATCATCTATCTCTTCCTCATAAAGTGTGGTAGCAGCATGGAAGACTTGTATGGTATTGTCTTCATCCCCTAACTTAGTTAGTTCTTGAGAAATATCATGCATTTGGCCATGATGATAATTCTAATGTTGTGGCGGTGGCTTTTCTTATATACCATCCTCATTGTTAAAAATAATCTTTTATTGATTCAATTTATCATAGAATAAGAAGTTCAAGTTGAAAAAGTGTCTGTCATATTTATGATATCGATTATGATTGGCATTTGCCTTGTCATTAGATAAGAGTTCCTTCATTCATGAGAGGCTAACAACTTGATCGGCCAACCAATTGTCTACAATAGCATAGACCATGTCCATGGAGCAAAGGTGTTAGAAAACTTATCTCATAGCAAATAAATAAATAAAAAGTAATATATAAAGTTGAAAATACACCAACCACTACAAGGTTTAAATATTGTAGATAAAACTCAATCTCAATTATCAAAATTAATAGGGTATGAAAGGCTCAAAAAAGCCCACCGATTTAGCAAATATCTTAAAACCCAAGCCAATTGATAGATTTTAAACGACTACAAGTGAGAATGAGTATTAAAGAATATATCACTTATTGCACGGATAAACAATACATGACTAAAATTATAAAGTAGAGAATGAGCCACCCACCATAAGGTTTGAGTCTTTTAGATGAAACTCAAACTTAATTATATAACTTAATATGGTATTAGAGCCTCATAGAGGCCTAAAATCTAGCAAATATCTTGAAGTATAATATAATATCTTGAACCTAAGAATAAATGAATTAATATATATTAAACACGTGTGAAAATTATTTTGTGTGCTTAGAATAATTGTTTAAAGGATTAGAATATTCTATGCATTTGGATGAATTTTCCTATGCTCAATGTATATTTTATAGGCTTTTTCTATACATGAAGAAAACTTTTTTATGTAATCTAATTTTTTTGAGTGCTTTGGATGTGCACAAAATTTATTCTATGAGCATAGAAAAATTGATAAAGAGGTGTGAGAATATTCCATCCACTTTAAGGGAATTTTTCTATACTTGGTGAATATTTTCTATATGAATAAATGCATTATTATGCAAAATAATTAATTTGAGTGCTTAAATGTGTGTATAAAAATCATGTGAATGATGAATAAATTACTATAGGAAGTGTTTGAATTTATTATTGAAAGAAATTATCTTTAAAAAAAGTGTGGGATAAATTATGCATATATAGAGACCTAATTGCATAGAATTAAGGACCCAATTGCATAAAATTAAAAGTTTAAGTTTTCAAATAAAATTGTAAATGGATTTAAGGTGGAAAAAGTTGTTAGAAAAGACCTTATGGAAGGAACTAAATTGGCTAATTAAATATTTGGAGGGCTTAAGGAGGTGCAAAAATTAGATAAAGTAAGAAATTGAGGGATTAAAATAAAAAAACTTTGGAAGAGATTTTCTTCCATTTTTTGCCACCTCTAACCCTTAATAATTAAGGGTAATTAATGAAATTTGACTTATGGAACAAATGTAGGCTAAGATGAAGTTAGATGGTTGAATGAGATTTAAAGAAAAATGGATGGCTAGGATTAAAACAATTGAAAGGATAGGATTAAAAGTAAAATCAAGGGTAAAGATTAAACCAAATGGAGGTGTCCCAACTAAAAATTTTCATGTTTTTATAATCTTAATTTTTTTTTTTAGGTACTAGCTTTCTCTTACTTTATTTTAAAATTTTCCTTTTTCTATCTTTTTTTTTGTTATTCATTTTTATTTCATCTTTATTTTTTATTTTTTTATTTGTAGTTTATATTAGTAATTTGAAAAAAAAAGAAATACAAAAAATAACATAAATTTAGCATCTAGGGATGCAATTGGATTAAATTGAAGTATAATTACTATAATTTGAGGTACAATTGGATTATTTGGAATGCAAAATCTAGATTACATTTGACAAGGACCCAATTGACAAAATAACAATTTACGAGTGATGAAAATTACACGAAAGGAGATACAATTGTAGGCAATTATAGCCGTCGCTACATGACGTCGGATGGGACTCCCGAAAATTCTAAGTTTTCAAAGGTTTTCAAAGATGTGCATCGTATTTGTAGGGTTTTTGAAGATGCGAGTTATTATTGTGTTTGGACTTGCCACCTAGTATTTAAGGAACTAAAAACCTAAAATAGCAACGATGTAGAAATTCTTGGGTAAGGAGTTGGTTATGTTTTGAGAAGACAACGATCACCCAAAAACATCCTTTTTCCGAAAAAGGTACCACATCTAGTTTAGTCTTAAATTCATCTCCCTAAATTTTTTATTTGTGCCAAGTTTTTTTTTTTATTTGAACTTCAATTTTTTGAGCAAATTTAAATGTTAGTGACCTATCATTTGATAGGAAATCGTCATTAGTCCCTAAGAATTTAGGAGACTCGACAATTCACAGATTTACTAACCATTAATCAATATATATATATATATATATATATATATCAAGGAAAAACATCATCAATCCCTAAAATTTAGGAAACTCGACAATTCTCCTATCTTTCGATTACCTAAACTAATTATTGACATTTTGAAGGAAAATCATCGTCGGTCCCTAAGAATTTAAGGGACTTGACAATTAACCTCTTTATTGGCTATTAATCTCATTATTGACATTTCATGAGAAATCGTCATTAGTCCTTAAGAATTTAGGAGACTTGATAGTTCGCCCACCTATTAACTACTAAACTAATTTTAAAACAAAATCCTAAAGAATTAACTATTAATCTTTCTCTTTTTTCTTTTTATCTTATGTTTTTTTTTATTTCTTTTTCGATGGAGAATCATCATCAATCCCTAATAATTAGGAGACTTGACAATTCATTTATTATTGGATTATCTCAACTAATTAACAACAAAGTTAAAAATATATGCATTTTACATTTTTTATTTTTTATTTTATTTTTAGTTTTTTGTTGATAAAGAATCGTCATTAGTCCCTAAAAATTAGGAGACTCGACAATTCATTCACCTATTTTTTATTTATCTAACCTAATTGTGGAAATAAAATTCTAAAACTAAATTATTTAAAATTAACTAAATACAATTTCAAGGAAACTAAAATATTAAAATCTAAAAAAAAAAAGCATGCCTAAGTAAACATTAAAGAAAAATTATCTAAAATGAAATAAATAAATACAATTAAAATTAAAAAAATTGGCTTTTTCTTTTATGGGTCATGGGCCTCTTGGAGTAAGTCGTTGGGCTACCTCGTTGGATCGGCCAGCCTTCCCTTTTTAGGGCTTGGGTCGGGTTGATTTGGACATGCTTCGTTGGATAAGTTCAACCCTCTCTCACGGCTGGACTACTTCGGCTTTTTTTTAACAAAGAAGAAAAAAAACAAATCAATTCCTAGTAACTTTTTCTCTCGACCAACCCCAAATTGATCAATGAACAAAAGCTTTATACCTTCCCAATTTCTCTTCTTTCTTTGCCTCCCATTTTGCGAAACGAGTCGAGATCCCCCAACCTCTTCTCCATTTCTCTCTTTCAACCCATGATGATTGCTTTGATGCTCGTTACCCGACATAGGGATCTTTAGTTCACCGCCTTCAAGGATTCATGTTTCTTGCCTAAATCTCCGTTTCATGGTACTAGGGGTAGATTTGGTGTTGGCTTATTGGGTATTTGGGTATGGAGGATGATGGTTTTTAGAAGGTATGTGTACCATGTGTTGTGATTTAGTCTCGTGAGAGGTGGCGATTTCGTGGTTTGATTTTGACGGGGTGTTTGGGTGAGTGTTTATATGGATAAGAAAATGACGGATTTCAATGGCGGTTAGAGGCCTTAGTGAAAGGAGATGGATTTGGCATGTGTGTTTCTTGGTGAGGGGTAATCTGTTGGCTAGGTGTTTGCGTCTTTGCTAGTGAGAGAGGCCCGAATGATGTTTTTAGGCAAGAATGGCCCGATGGATAGAATAGCCACCGTGATTGTGGGGGAATGGTTGGATGAGCCGACCGGGGTCGCATGGGTGTTTTTTTTTTTTTGGTGAGGCGGATGAAACTGGTTTTGGGAATAGGGTATCACGGTTAAGGGAGGCTAGCTTGTTAAAGGTGAGAGCTTGATTATGGTTATGGTTGTAGTTATGGCTATGGCAATGGGGAGGGACAATAGGGGCTGTTACCACTACTACTCGTTAAGTTTTGCAGGAGTGAGGATGGCCAGCAAGGTTGTTTATCTTGTGTGATGGTGACTTTGATCATTAGTGGAGAAGTAGGGGTCTATGGGTGTGGTCGTGGTTGTGTTTATTGGGGGGTTTAAGGCCGTGATAGAATCTTCTTGGTAGTGTAAGGGAGAAAGGAGAAGGGGCAATGGGTTAGACTCGACCGTCGGTATGGTTTTTTAGGAGTGAAGAAGATATGGGCTATGGGGTGATTGTAGGTTTGACGGTGATTTTAAGTACTTAGATGACTATGGTGGTTAGTGAGGTTTGATTGACAATTGAGGATAGGGGTGAGAGATTGGGTGAGGGTTGTGTTATTGTTGATGGATGAGGTCGGTGGTGAGGAATGGGTCCGCAGTAGCTACGCACGCTAGATGCTTCGTGCCTTGATCTATGAGAGGTAGATGGCCCGATGGCTTATTGAGAGGGTTGCAATGACGATAGCCAATGGTGGGGCGATGGGTTTCTTGGTAGAGGGTTTATGGAGATTGGGATGATGATACCGTAGGTGGTCTTGGGGATTTTTGGGGAAGGATCAAATAAGGGTTCTTTATGGGGACTATATGAGATAGAAGGGTAGCCGAAAGTGTGAGATGCGGGGAGGAAGGGAATAATGGCGATTATGGCAACTAGGTCTTCCTCCATTCTACATTTTTGCTTGCTAGGTTTTTTGGGGTTTAGGAGGATAGGAGAATTGTGGAGGCTCCCTTTGGCTCCCTTTGTGGTTCTCTTTGTAGTTGCCTTTTTGTCTCCTTTGGTGGTCGCCTTGTTATCTACCCCTCTAAAGTGAATGAAATATGTTGTTTTTATTGGAGGTTTCTAGTACGAGAGAGGAGTGAGTCATTTTTATTTTTTATTTTTTATATTTTTTTGTATTTTGAATTTTATGCATATATTTTTTTCTATTTTTATTCTTTTTCCATTGTTTTGGTATTTTTGTAGTAAATTCTAAAATGAGATAAAAGGAGATAAAATGAAATAAAAATGTAAAGAACAAATAAAATAACCAAAAATATGAGAAATTTTTGAGTTATGATAGTTGTCTCCTTTTTACAATGTTTATTATACAAAGTCAAATGAAAAATATTTTTTTCAATGACTTTATATAATATGCTTGTAAAGATTTTTGTTTTTGTTTTTTTTTTTAGATTGGTTTAGTTGTTGTTGGTAACCTTCCTTGGAAAACAAACATATGAGGACCCATGTTGTGATCACCTTGAAAAAAAAAATATGCATTACGGGACTCATGTTGTGGTCACGTTGAAAAAATAAATATACATTACGAGACCAATGTTGCGATCAGTTAGACAAAATAAACATGCATTGCAAGACCATGTTGCGATCATCTTGAAAAAACCAACATGCATTATGGGACCAATGTTTGAAAAATAAACATGCGTTGTAAGACCAATGTTGTGATTATTTTGAAAAACTAAATATCCGGATCCGGACCAATGTTGTAGTCACTTTAAAAAAATAAATATGCATTATCGGACTAATGTTACGGTCATTTTGGAAAAATAAATATGCATTGCAAGACCTATGTTGTGGTCGCTTTGAAAAATAAACATGTGGTGCATGGCTATGTTGTAAAGACGACTTGCCTTGAAAAATAAAACATGCAGTATGTGACTATATTGTAAATGCACCCTACCTTGAAAAAGTAAACATTCGGTGCGTGGCCATACCGTAAAGGCGGCTCGTCATGAAAAATTAAATATGCAATGCGTGGTCATGTTGTAAAGGCGACTTGCCTTGAAAACGTAAATATGTAGTGCGTGGCCATGCTCGTAAAGGCGACTCGCGTTGAAAAATTAAACATGCAATGCGTGGCTATGTTGTAAAGATGGCTTACCTTGAAAAAGTAAACATTCAATGCATGGTTATGTTGTAAAGGTGGCCTCGCATTGAAAAATTAAACATGTAGTGAGTGGTTATTTGTAAAGGTGACTAGCCTTGGAAAGGTAAAAATGCGAGTGCGTGGCCATGTTGTATAGGCGACCCGCCTTGGAAACGTAAATATGCGAGTGCATGGCTATGTTGTAAAGGCGGCTAACCTTGAAAAATTAAATATGTAGTGCATGACCATATTGTAAAGGCGATCTACCTTGAAAACATAAATATTCCGTATGTGGCCATGTTGTAAAGACGATCCGCCTTAGAAAAGTAAACATGCGAGTGTGTGATCATGTTATAAAGGCGGTCTACCTTAGAAAAGAAAAAATGCAGTGCGTGGCTATGTTATAAAGGCAACCTACCTTGAAAAATTAAACATACAAGTGTGTGGCCATGTTGTACTTTCCATGTTGTAAAGGCAATCCGCCTTGAAAAAGCAAATATATAGTGCGTGATCATATTGTAAAGGCGACCTACCTTGAAAATGTAAATATGTTGTGCGTGGTCACGTTATAAAGGTGGACTCGCCTTGGAAAAGTAAATATGCAATGCGTGACTATGTTGTAAAGACGCTCCGCCTTGAAAAATTAAACATGCAATGCATGACGATGTTATAAAGACGACTTGCCTTGAAAACGTAAATATATAGTGTGTGGTCATGTTGTAAAGGCGGTCCGCCTTAAAAAATTAAACATGTAGTGTAAAGGCGGCTTACCTTGAAAAAGTAAACATATAGTGCGTAGCCATATTGTAAAGGCGGTCTACCTTGAAAGCATAACTATACAGAGTGCATGGTGATCTTATAAAGGCGACTCGCCTTAGAAAATTAAACATGCAATGCGTGACCATGTTGTAAAGGCAGCTTGCCTTAGAAAAGTAAAAATCCAAGTACGTGGCCATGTTGTAAAGGCGGCTTGCCTTGAAAAAGTAAACATGCAAGTACGTAGCCATATTGTAAAGGCGGTCTACCTTGAAAGCATAACTATACGAGTGCATGGTCATCTTATAAAGGTGACTCGCCTTAGAAAATTAAACATGCAATGCATGACCATGTTGTAAAGATGGCTTGCCTTGGAAAAGTAAATATGCAATGATTTATTATTATGCGACCTTGTCCGAATGAATGGTCTATTGTGAGGGACCCCGCTCGAATGAATGGTCTCTTGTGAGATGACTCCGCTCGAATGAAAGGTCGATTGTGAGGCGACCTTACCTAAGTGAATGTCTATTATGAGATGGCCTTGCTCGAAGGAATGATCTATTATAAGATGACTCTACCCGAATGATGGTTTATTGTCATGCGACCCCGCTCGAGTGTGTGTAGGAAAAAGGTGAGCCCTTTTTTTGAATTTTGAACTTGAATGATGGTTCCATATTTTTCATTTGAGTTGACATTCCTAAAATATATTAGCAATGGTCGAGCTCTTATATGAGAGAAACATAGGTCGCCCCATCTTGTCCGCACTCAACTCCCCTTTGATGCCTCATTTTGGACTCATGTACTTGATATTATCCCGTAGTACTCGTCAAAATTTTTCTTACTCCCTACCCATTGTTAATTGTGAACTTGAGTTTTTTTTAACCTTCTTCAACCAACTAAGGTAGATTGACTTTTCCGAACATCGAGGTGGTCAACCATTCATGTGTTATGGTTTACCCCCGAGAGACCATACTTGATCGCTTCCGACTATTTGCCAAGCTTTGACAGAGTCATTATCATCCCTTAGAACTACTCTTTGAACCCTTGCTTAATAGCCTTAATTGCTTTGATTTGTATTCAAAAGTTAACTATTTAGACCTCTATTCCTTGAGCTAATATAGTGGTGTCATTGTCCGATTAGTTGTTGAACTCGATTAGAGTTGTAAGATCTTTGGTCTTGCCCCCAAGTGTTAATTTAATGAATTACCATTTAAGTCGAGCCATGAAATGCCCCAAAGTGTTGGTCGAGATCAAACATTTATCATTCTCTCGATATAATCATTACTTGTGTTCAAATGCTCATTTCTTGATACTAGCATCATAATTTGTAAGTCTGGTCTAAATTTTTTTATCATATTTTCAGAAAAATCATGGAATAGACAATTGGTTTTTTTATGGATCAAGTCATGAATTTGAATTATTCTTTTAAGATAATTCGGATTACTTGAAAGAAATGTAGAGATGTTCTAATGAAAGTACTTTCATTCACAAAAATGTTCAAATTGATTAGTTGGAAAGCCAAAGCATGACATTCAAATGTTATGATGCAATTTTCTCAAGAAGGTTGGGCTAAGCAAGCAAAAAAAGTGTTTAGGTCATGCAAAGTTTGCTTAAAAGCTAACATTTGAGGCATTTGAAGGTAATTGGTCCATGATAATTCCATTTTAGATAACTCGAAAATTGTTTGAGCAGAAAGTATTTTTAGAAAGTAGTTTTGAAGGATAATTTTATCCGTAATTGTTATTGTAGGTACCGAAGATCTAACCATGTATGGATAGGTTTGAGTTAATGTATCATTACATTATTTATTTTGATAATAATAAAGAAGTCATTTTGTTAATTCTTATGTTTACATGTTCCGTAGAACAAGATAGAAGTCCTTATGATATGCATTTGCAATAGTGATTGATCGAAGATGTGACACAAACACTAATGCATATAGATGATATCATTAAATGTCCCAAGTCGTAGCATTGTCAAGAATGGACATTGAGAAAGGTAGATAGACCTTTGAGTGTTATACTCATGCTCGTGTGATAACGAGTAGGAGATCTCACACCTATTAGCATGGTGATGCTAAAGCAAGCACTAAGGTGATTTATGTTAGAGAACATATCATTGGACGTGACTCATTATGAGAACCCATTTGGTTTTAGTCTATGGGAATCTCATACGAGATGGGTATAAATGGTCTTTAAACTTGAAGTCGTTACGATTATCTCATTTGAGGACTTATGCACTTTGACACTCGTTTTGATGGATCCATTAATGGGTTGAACGTGAGCGATTCGTTGGGTGCACTAGGAATCCAATGGAGATAGGTGTATGACTAAGATAGGATATGTCATTCCTTGTATGCTAAAGGAGTTATCGCATTGCACTTCGATAAGTGTCCGCTCAAGAATCTATGGCCATAGTAGGAGTACACCAATAGAGCATAGTTAGTCTACTCTAAGAGCTAAGACATTTGGGAATTGAAGAAAAATAATGTGATCATAATCGAGAAAGACTAATAACCTAGTTCTAGATCACACTCGTGATAAGTTGACATGAGGACCGAATTGCATGGTAACCATGTTGGTGAAAGATAATAATGGATTAACTAATCCTCCTAGAGAATTGAGTAGTCATGTTGTTTTGTTAAAGGGTAATCTTGATTTATGTGTCAAGAGATAAAAGAGGAGTATTTTATTCTTGATACATTGCCAAAATATCTAGGAACCTATTGGATAGTCCAAATAAATTAATTGGGCTAAAATAGTTTTGGCTCATTAGATTTAATTACATGCTTATAGATAATTTTCGTGGAAGGATAAACATCAACCTTATTGGATAAGGTTGAATGTTTTAAAGATAAACATCAATCTCATTGGATAAGGTTGAATGTTTTAAAAATAATAATCAAATAGTCCACATAAAAAATAACTCATCATCCTTGGAGGATAAGGAAGGAACAACTTAGAGTCTTTTATGGACTTATAGCCACCCTCTCTTTGTCCTTGGAGGACAAGGAAACTCTCCTATAAATATATAAGAGGGAGAGGAAAAATTTGACCAACATAAGAAAAAAGGAAGAGAGAAGATTTGGCTAGCCCAAAAAATTACTTAGGGCACATGGTAAAGAGAGAAAAGAAAAGAGAAAATAGTTTTCTCCTAAACCCTAGCAAGAAATATTCTTTCTCTCT